CTCTTCGCCCAACTTCTCTGGAAGCATTGCTTTTTCTGCCCCTCCAGGCTGCCGGCGCACTCCAATTCCAAATAAAATAAAATAAAAAGAAGAGAAAAAGAAGAATGTGGGAGGAAGAAGGGGAAGCATTCTCAGACGCGATCCAAATCCGACCAGAGTTTCAAGCCCGTCGTCCGCGTGTCGCAAGACCACTCGCACCACACAAACTAGCAGATGGGCCCGCCCCAACTCAAAGCCCGAAAGCCCAGATCTGTTTCAAATCCACGAGACCCACTTGTACGGATGCAACTCGCGGCCCACAAGATGCACCGACCCGCCGAGTGATGTTGTAGAGCGCGACACATCCAAAACTTCATCCGTGGAGGACGGGATTCGAACCGCTGTTTCAAAGCGCGAAAGCCCATATCTGTTTCAAATCCACGAAACCCACTTGTACGGATGCAACTCGCGGCCCACTAGATGCACCGACCCGCCGAGTGATGCTGTAGAGCGCGACGCATCCAAAAATTTATGCGTGGAGGACGGGATTCGAACGGCTGTTCAACCATTCGCGTGCAATGGCAAACAGAACCAGTGGACTACGTGACAACTGTTGTCTAACAAGCGCAGAATGTTTATTTTAATTTTTGCTGGCTCTGCTTCTCCAACTCGCGGCCCACCTCACCGCCTGCCCAACTCGCGGACGACCTCCATGGCCCACCTCGTGCACAACTTCGTCCGCTTCAAAGCTCGCGGCCCAAGCATCGCTCGACCGCGCAACTCGCGGCGCACTCCCATTAATCCTCTTCAAGCTCGCCCAGGTCAACCGAAGACTCATTCTACCCAATGGCACGAGCCCAATCACGCTACATGGGCTTGATTCCGTTCACCAACTGGCGATCAAGTGGGCCAATCATCACTCGCGGAACCCACCACTCGCGAGCCCATTTTATACTCCTCCGTAGCTTATGGCCCGCCGCCTCAACACTCGCGGCCCGCACTGCAGGCAACCCAACTCGCGGCCCGCATTCAACAGGCGCGGAACTCTTCAAAAAAAATGTCATCGCCGCCAGTCTTAGAACCTGCGCGACTATTCCGTCAGACAAGCAACATTACCAGTAGGCTACATACGAGCCTTGTGTTTCAATGGCGCAGCGCCTGCCTTTCATCTACTCCTGCCGCCCCTGCGCCAATATAAAGCTAAGTACTCTATCTCTCTTTCGTTATTAAATTTTTAAATATTTTACTTTCCTGAGCGTTAATGAAAGAGTACACATTGCTCTCCAAGCTCTCCCCACCTTCAAGACTCCAAACTGAGGGTTAAAAACCCCGACGAGGAGAGGGCACATTGCCTCGAAGAAGCTACAAATAAGTCACAACGAAGCATACAAATAAGACTTCAATAAGAGCATCGAAGATCTACAAATAAGTCTCAACGAAGCACACAAATAAGACTTCAATAAGAACATCGAAGATCTACAAATAAGTCTCAACGAAGCACACAAATAAGAATTCAATAAGAGCATTGAAGATCTACAATAAGTCTCAACGAAGCACACAAATAAGACTTCAATAAGAGCATCGGTGAATCTACAATATGAGAGTGTTCAGCTACCTTTATCTCCAATAAAGAGCACTAAACGTGCGCGGTAAGCCCGTAACGTAATCGTGTGGCTGGCACAAGCGCACCAATGAAAGAGTACACACTTGTGTGTGTGTGAAGAACTCCAATAGGCTCAGTACCTCGAAAAATTTTCAACAAGCAATGGCTCAGCGCCTTGGAGATTCTAATAGAAGAGCGCTCAACGGCTTAATGAAATACACCAACTAGGTGGCAAGACGCAAGAGGCTGGCACCGCGTCAGTCAAAGGCGCCACCAGCTGGGGGGCAACTTGGGTACATAGGGCTCCATCCAAAATTATCGATGCAGATTTAAAAAAAAATATATATAAGCTAGCGATGAGTTAAAACTCACCACCAGCTTGGGGGGCAATTGTTGGGGGTGTTACTAAATACTCCACGCGCGGACTAAATAAGGGGCGCTCAATCGGTAACGTGCTCCGCTCGAACCGCCACTACGAAGTATTTAAAGGCATGAAACTCTCCATTGAGGGGGGACTTCTTCTCTCTCCTCACTTTCCACTTTTCACTATCTCCCTACACTTTATCTCTCTACCTTGTTCTCTCAACTTTCATCTTAAACATGAACTAACTTGATCGTCGGAGTTCAATCCGGGGGGCATCCCCGGATCTTTCATAGGTTTCTTCTCTCCCGACGAGATGGGACGAACAGATCGTGAGTCAACCCCACACCAAAAAATATCATTGTTCATACCGGAGCTAGATGGTACAAACAGAAGCAATTTGTATTATTCATTGAACAACAAGAAGAATCAGAGTTGTATAGTATTGCGCCACAAACAACTTGTGAAAGCTTTCTTCAACTCCTGTTTGGAAGGTGAGGATGTCCTTGCAAAGGATAGTAGACATAGAACCGGTAGGTTTCGAAACACAAAGCCCTCCATAATCAGACCCCAAGGGGGAAAAGTCGACGCCATGAGCTCCTTGTACCACTTAGCCAGTTTTTCCTTCCAAAGAATGACGAATACGCAGATGTTAGAGATTCCATCACACGTTTAGAGTGGTCTCGGTCCATTTCTCGGCTCGGGCCAACAACTAGGCGACCCATATTATGGCGCACACCGCTTATAGTTGGAACCAACAAGATATTTGGGTTTTCGGGCCCCCAATTTTTATAGTTGCTTAGTTGTTAACTGATTCCTATAATATTTTCACTTAATGAAATAATACAGGCTATAATTGAAAACGCAACAAAAAAATATACTACTGTTCATTTTTATTAAAAAAGATTTCTAGCTATTTGTTAAAGAAAACTAATTTATAGACTAAACCACCACTACTTTAAACTAAACAAATTTGGAATAGCTTGTTACTTGCAGGCACTATAAGGTAGTTGCATATGGGAGCGGATCTCATCAATAAACTTATGGTGTATAAATATGTATAACTCTATCACAATCCGCCACATCAGCACTCATTTCTCTCCTATAGGAATCATTTATTTTTTCCTCTAATCTTTAACAAGCTATTTCTCTCTCATTTTAAGTCGAATATTAATTTTTTTGCACAAATAGATCATATTAATTGTGCTCTACAAAATGATATCCACTTTGAATATTTTTTGTACAAAAAAATTGAGATTTTTTTTACCAGTCCATACCATATGATATTGATTGGTATACATACTATATGGTATGTTCGCGTACCACAAGATACCAATCCCCCATACTAGGGTGGTATAATATGATTTTTTTGTTCTTGTGTTGTTTTTTACCCAAATTTTTTTAGATCCCATATATTATGATTAACTAGTTCCTTTTGTGCAAAAAAATTAAAAAATGACTTAAAAAACGACGGAGATACCATATGGTATGGAGTTGGTAAAGAGAGGTATGCATTTTTTTCCTAAAAGAATATTGAAAATGGATCACATTTATGGAGGACAACGAACTCGTTTCATCTTTGCAAAAAAAAATTGAAATCTGAGTTCGAACAAAGAAGAAAAGAATCGATTAAGAAAATTAGAAAAATTAAAATATCTTTAATTTTTCCCATTAGATCTAGATTTTCTGAAAACTGAAAAATGAAGATCCGGATTTAGTTACTATCCGATGCATGGTTATGCACCGCATCTGTTGCGTATGTATACAATACCGTCCGTTAAATTTTTTTTTGGTGAAAAGGTGCAGAGCACCATTACCTCTTACTCATTAAGGGAACGAACGGTGAAACCACCAACATTGTCAAATATACACCAACGAGCAATATCCGGATCGGAAGGACAAATAACATGGGAACCAATAGGAAGACTATGGCCTCGATGAGCAAGGCTATCAGCTAGGAAGTTTGCCTCTCTATAAACATGAGTGATACGGATTTCCCAGTCTCTCTGCTGCAGTTCCCGGAACGCAAGAACGAGGCTTGCGTGTTGGTGGTTTGACGGTGAAGTGGTGGAGAGGAGGTGGACCGCAGCTGTTGAATCCATCTGCAGTTCCACCTTCTTATATCCAGTCTCTCACGCCAGTTGCATTCCCTTAAGAGCGCCCCATAGCTCCGCGCGAGTGATCGTGCATTTTCCCAGGTTCATTGCGTAGGCCCCTAACAAGCGACCCTGCCAGTCTCCAAGCGCCCCCCCTGCAGCGGTGGACCCTGATGGACGGATGAGAGAACCATCAGAGTTCACTGTGAGCCAGTCTGTCGGGGCCGGTCTCCACCCAACAGCCACGTCTCGACGCGACCCCGACCTCCACAGTGATATAACGTTATCCGCTGCTTGACTCTTTTGTGCGATGACCTCCCATTGCAAGGATCTTTTGCGTCAACTTGTTAGGAGCTTCCGCAATGTCTGAAAAAATGAGATCATTCCGCGAACGCCATAAGAACCAATAAACAAACCCAAATCGAACCTGGTTCTCGGGGCTAGCGAGGTATGACATGAACTAGTCCTTAAAAGGGCGAGTATCGTGCGGGTGTGCAGCTTGGGGCAAAGCGAGCTCCCACACCTGGTTTGCAAATGGGCACAGTCTGAAGACATGTTCCGCATCCTCCGAATCAGCCTTGCAACGCGCGCAAATGCTGGTGGCCGTCAAGTGTCGTCGTCGTCGCTCCTCATTCGTAAGGAGAGCTCCATGCGCCGCGATCCACAGGAAGTTTCGGACTCGACTCGGGTCAGGCCACCGCCATAGTTTCCGCCAGCTCGTGCGTCCATCTTCCCCATCGATGTCCGCGGCAAGCTGGTAGGCCGACTTCAAGCTGAAGCAACCTTTCGGCTCCAGTCCCCAAACAAATGTGTCCTCCCCTAGGTCCTCCTTCGGTGGTGGCATTCCTACAACCTGCAAAAGGGAATCCGCAGGTAAGAATTGGGCAATAAGAGGGACATTCCACTCACCTTCGGCAGTCACCATGTCCGCAACCATTGCTTCCGCCGGGAACCCCTCCTTCTACGTCCAAGCATGCTCGCTCAAAGGCCTGCCCTCATCCGTCCATGTATCCGTCCAGAAATTCGTTGTTCTCCCGTCCCGAATTCTCCAGCGGATGCCCGAAAGAGTGAGGTTCCAGATCCGTCGCAGACCTCTCCAAAGCGAGGAGCCTCCCGATTGGCGGCGCACCTGCACACCCGAGAGCCCCGTTTTGAGGTAGTTTTCTTTTAAAACCTGCACCCACAATTCATCAAGTTTAGTTAGCATAGTCCACGCTAGCTTCATGTGATAAGCTGCGTTAAGCTCACAAGCCGAGCGGAGCCCCAGGCCGCCTTGATCTTTTGGGAGGCAGATCGTCTCCCAGTTGATGAGGTGTATACGCCGTCTCCCTTGCTGAGAACCCCATATGAAAGCCCGTATCTTTTGGTCAATCTGGTCACATATTCCTGCCGGGAGAACGGCAGTTTGCATCGCATAGGAGGGAATCGCATTCAGCACTGACACGGCTAGAGTAACCCGTCCCGCAAGCGAGAGATTATCCGCTTTCCATCCTGCAAGTCGCTGATCGATGCGGTCGAGAATGTACCGATACGTATCCTTTGTAGTGCGACCATGTAAGACTGGGACTCCCAGGTAACGGCCCAAGTCTTGAGTCATCGGGATGTTCAATCTCTCACTGATCCTCTTGCAGGTGTCCCTTTTCATATGTCGAGAGAAGAAGATTCTCGACTTTTCCGTGCTGACTTGCTCTCCTGACACATTGCAGAACGTTTGTAAGCAACTCATCACCACGTCTGCCTGTTCCACAGTGGCCTCTGCAAAGAGCACAAGATCGTCTGCAAAAAACAAATGTGTCAAACCAACCCCCCCTCGAACGAGTTGGATGGGTTTCCACTTGTTCTCCTTTACTGCTTCTTCAATGACATGAGACAAGCACTCCATACACAGTGTAAAGAGATAAGGGGAAAGGGGACATCCCTGCCTGAGACCACGAGTCGGTTTAAACGATTCCGTGCAGCTTCCGTTCCACAAGACTTCAAAGGATGCTGAGGTGATGCAATGCATTATAACTTGAATAAAATGCATTGGGAGTCCAGTCGCTGCAAGGGTGCTCGCCAAGAAAGTCCAGTCTAAGCGGTCGTATGCTTTAGCCAAATCGATCTTAATCGCCATGTGACCCACTTTCGTTTTTCTAGTCTGCAAGGAATGAACCACTTCCTGTAGGATAATAATGTTGCTCTGGATACTCCTTCCCGGTACAAAGCTTGTTTGATTAGGCTTGATCAGCTGCGCCATCAAGGGTTTTAGCCTGTTCGCTAGGCATTTGGCTAGAGCTTTGTAAGAGACATTACAAAGGCCGATCGGCCGAAACTCTGCGACTGAGACAGGGTTCTGCTTCTTTGGGATCAAAGTGAGCAGAGTGGCATTCACAGACGCAATAAGCTCAGGGTCGCGGAAGCATCGGGAGATAAAGGACGAGAATTCATCGCCGACCGTCTCCCAACATCGCTGGAAAAAACATGGATGGAAACCATCTTTGCCGGGTGCTTTGTGAGGGCCCATGGCCTTCAGAGCGCTCACCACCTCTTCCCGGCAGATATCCCAGTCCAGACTCGCCACATCTACAGATAACGGCGGGAAGGTGGCCGGCAGGATGTCCATTGCTGTTTCCTCTGCAGTATATAGGATGGTATAGAAAGCCCGAACCAGCTCCTCAAGCTGTTCATCTTCCTCCACCCACTCCCCCTGGCCATTCTTCAGGCGGCGGATACGATTAAAGCATCTCCGTTTCAGAGTTGCTAGATGGAAGAAGCGCGTATTGCAATCTCCTTCGCGGAACCATTGAGCCCGGGACTTTTGGAACCAGAGAATTTCCTCTTGTTTAAGTACCCCCTGTAAAGAGGCCCAGACTCGTTCTTCTTCAAGGTGGGTTGCAGACGTAGGCCTTCTCTCATTTATCATTTCGAGTTCACATAGGCGGTGCAGCAAGTTTCGTTTTCGGGCAAAAATATTACCAAACACTTTTGCATTCCACTCTTGTAATTCCCTTGTCAGAACCGCCAGTTTAGAGGAGTAGTCAACCCCGTGGCTCCATCCCTCTTGCATAACCCTGGAGAAGTCGTCATGGAGGAGCCAGGGAGCTAAAAAGCGGAAGGGTTTACCCTTATTCCTGCGGGGTTTCCGGCCTGCCATTGCAACTAACAAGGGGCGATGATCCGATTTTACTCTTGGGAGATGCAAGGTCGCAGTCTCCGGGTATTTTTGAAGCCACTGGGGGTTATAGATAGCACGATCCAGTCTTTCTTGCAGCTGATTAGCACCCTTCCAAGTGAATCTCGGGCCAGTGAAAGGTGCATCAATGAGGGCACACTCTTCCACACACCGACGAAATTCCCGGCTGCTCGAGGCATTAAACTTCGCACCACCACGTTTATCATCAGGACTGAGGAGAGCATTGAAGTCTCCGAGCAACATCCAGGGAGTATCGATTTGCATATTGAGTCTCCTTATATCCTCCCAGAGAGATCGACGAGTTGCCATAGCAGGGGAACCATAGACAGCAGATAAGAACCCAACATCACCCGTGGGAAGCTTAAAGCTCATGTGAAGGATTTGATCCGTTGTGTCTTCTACATGCAGCCCGAGCTCCCACGAATTCCACAGTACCCATATACCACCCGCGAAGCCTCTCGCCTCCACCCTTCGATTGGTATCAAATCCCATCCTCCGAACCACTTTGTCCGCGTCCGCTCCGCTGATTTTTGGTTCAAAGATAAACACAACGTTAGGCTGGTGAAGACGTCGAAACTCATGAAAATGTAAGAGAAAGTTGGGGTCAGCAGCACCCCACAGTTCCATGCAAAAACTTTCAACATTTAAACAAAAAGATTAAAAGTAACTAAAGGAGCACAGGGATAGGAAGCTCCCCTGGTCAATTACGCTGCTCCACGTCCATGATGGACGTCGTCAGCTCATTCACACTCTCGCTAGCACTACCACATGTGCTGCCATTCATCGAAGCATTCTCCACGGAGAGGAGAGCATCTCTGTTGAGGTCTAGACTGCGTGCCACCGGCTGTTTTTTGTCCGGGGGCCTGCCTCTTTGCTGACCAGGGATAGGCATCGCTATAGTTTGAACGGTATCGACAGGAATATGTCCGCTATTACTCGTCCCATTCTCCTGACTAGCCAGAGCTGCCATCTTGTCCTCGCTCCGGGCTACTTCGCCATTATTTCCGTGGGGGTTTTGCTGTTGGCAAGTAGATATGCCATTTGTCTTGGTCGCTGGGTGCTCTTTGGTAAGCAGAACGTAATCCTTGCCCTCATCATTTTTCCTCTGCTGGGTTGGCACCCACACTTGCTTTGACTTTGCATCTCTCAAGGGTTGACTCGGTCCCGAATTTGGTCGATCTCTATCCTGTGTAGCCGCAGTATTGTCATTACCACTCATTACGGTGTCCGCTCCACCAGCCTCGACTCCCCGCTCCTTAGCCAAATTCTCCTGGTGTTCACGTAGCTCATCATTCAGGCTATTCAAAACATCAAAGCGAGAGCCCGCTGGGTTTGTCTTCCCCTGAACTGGTCGCTGGGTAGGCTTGTGCGAAGCATCTTTAGATCCTGAGGGTCTGCGGCGTCTGTTGCTTGAAGCGATCATCCACGGTCCATAATCCTCAAAAATCTCTGGCCTCTCTTGTTCAATGGTGGTCTTGCTTTTGGGGATGTGGGCCGTTCTGAACGCTTCTTCGGAGGGTGACTCCATCTCCTTCTTGGGGCAACTATCGTCAGTATGGCCATATCTCCCGCAGGTAAAGCACACCTTGTGGAGTCCCTCATACTCAATCCGACGTGTTCGCCGTTCAAGTTTGTATTTGCATATAAGGGGACGTGACAGATCAACCTCAACACACATCCGCGCAAAGTGACCTCGCGTTGCTTGCCTGGTAGCTTCATCAATCTTAACAAACCTACCAACAGAGTTGCCCACATTCGCTATTAGCTCCTCATCATAGTAATCCATGGGAAGTTTAGGCAATCTTGCCCAGACAAGAGTCTTTGACAGTTCTTCATCCTCCGGTTCAAACCCTCTTGTCCATACACGAGTGAGTACGTAGTGGCCTTCGATCATCCATGGCCCCTCTGTTAGTGCTCGTTCATAATCTTGCTCCGTAGTGAAGCGAACTGAGTAGAAGCCTCGTCCCATTGCTGCCACGGTAACCGGACCAGTCCTGGCCCACATACTAAGAAGACGACGCTGAAGGAAGAGGAACGGGAAGGAGTGTCCCAGGACCCGAACGACCAGAGCACGTTTCCAGCGTGCACTCCGACGGCCGTGGAAACCTTTCGGGAAAGAAATCTTCGGGCAGTCCGGCTCTCCTTCTCCATCACTATCAATCGGTTCTGGTTCATCGTCATCGATCATCTCGCTGTCCACATGTGGTTGACGTCCCAGAACTTTGTCCAGATAGGAGCCCCCCGCCGCCGAGGCTGTAGCTCCAGTTGGGTTCTCTATCTCAGTAGCTCGGGTTTCCCCTATCACGGCCGCTGCAGCTTTTGTTAGAATTTCCACGTGCATGGCTTCTTCCCCTGAAAAGCCTGTATCCATGGTCTTTGACCGCTTAGAGACCTGCACCGGCGATTAGGTTAGAGACGTGATCACCGGCTGATCTGGGGGTGGCTGGAAGGGTCCAGCGGGACCGCCGGCGGGGTGCCGGCGGCACTCATGGCAAAAAAACCCTAACCCTAGCCTAATGCGATTCCGCAAATCTCGGAGCAAAAAAGCCTTCTCTTAATACCGTCCGTTACATGATATAACATGGGCAGAATCTTCGTGAAATATTATTTTCATTTTACTCACCTTTTTCATTACTAAAGAGACTACCGGTTAAACTTCTTTTTTTATGTCCTTGGACATTCTTCCTAACATGTATCTCTAGCTTCCAAAAGTTCATAAAGCGATAACTCAACTAAGAAAATACATCATCACCTACCTTTCAAAGGGATTTCATATCTTTCTCCATGAGTTCCCTTTTTATATCTTTCTATATAAAAAAAAGAGAATTTATGTTATTTGTGCAATTCTGATTCTCATAATTTCCATCAGCATTGATTCATTTCTATAATGATTTGGATTAAATCTCAAAATGGTCTTAATGCTGTAAAACATTTAAATCTTATCCGTAGAAAATGCAAATTTGATGATACTAATTCATGTCATATTCTGTAGAAGCATTTATAAAACTTCATATGCTTTAAAACTTACCGGAATTGTAATCACACGATACCAACTAGGTCACAGGAATTATTGATGAATCGGAATCCTGTTTTTTTATTTTTATCAAGACTGTATTGGTGTAATATTAAACATAATTATATTTTTATATTCTCAACAATTAGAGTCTCTTGATTTTATTTATGATCCAACAATACAACAATTGCACTAAAATTTTCCACAATACTAAAGTTTGAAGTGGTTCATTGACTCTAGAGCGAACTACGTTTTGGTTTGCGCCAAACAAAAGAAATCTATGTTGTTCGTTAGAAAGACAAGCGAACAAAAAATAGTTCACTTAAAATTAGAGCGATTATATAGTTCGCACTGGAGCAACTTGATTGGTGGAGATCGGACGACGATGATCTCTATTAGCTAAACAATGTTAAGTGGCATATCTCGAATAGATGTGTGAGGCAATATCTATGACAGCAACCAATTCCTACACCATCACTAGCTGAACTAAAAGACCTCCACAAATACAACAAGGATTTGCGGGTAGTATAATCGATTGGGTAAGTAAGCACGACCCATGGACTAACGTATCATTAAAATATGAGGGACAAAAATGGAAGAAAAATGTCCAAAAACGTGGTAATGTGAAATACAGTGGGGGTGGTGCCGGTTTTCCCTTTCCCGCATCTGTGAAAATAACGCGATATTTATAGTAGATGACATTCTAATGACGAGACCAATGTGGTACCAAGACGAGCACGTACATGATTTGGTATCACAAGTTCATGAAAGATGGGTAACCAAATGTGGTGTTGTGATCGGTTCGTAGGTAAGCTGTAACTAACTTTAGCCTATTTTACTTTAGTCAAGATATAAATGCTCTCACTAACTTCTTCAATGCTTCAAAACTAGGTTGGTGGGTTGAAACTTGAGAGTGCGAATATGGAGAGTGAACCCACTTTGGGATTGAGAAAATGTTCTTCTTGAAGAGACTCTTCAAGGACCTCTTGTGTTGTGTACAAGAGCATCAGAGGAATATCTCTCCTATCCACCAACAACGTGCACTACCACGTCCTTCTTCCAACAACATTAATCTCCATTCCCCCGCCATTGCCACCAAGGAGAATTAGACGTCAGACACAACCAATATAAATCCCCGTGCAAGTACAAGAAGAGGCGACCCTTCCAAACTAGTATGAATATGAATTTCCACTATCATGGGGAATTCAGAGAAAGATTATCAATCTCTATTCCTTCCATTACCACCTCCACTTCACTCTGAACTGCTACTTCGTTTGCATATCGAGTTAGTGATATAGGAACATAAACCAAAGAGTTGGACGAGTACACGGTGCACGAGGAGGGACCAATGCGAGAGAGAGGAGTAACGTGAGAGATAGTTGTATTTTTCTAATGACAATATTGCTTCGCTGCAGTCAGCGACGAACAACTCCAAACCCTAGGTTCTTCACTTTAGAGTTTAGACACCAGCACACAATACCGCAAACCCTAAACACTTCGCTTTAGAAGGCAGCAAATAATGGTGGTTCGCTTAATTTTAAAGCAATCATTGGTAAACTGCTTCGTATTTTAGCGATTCACATGAATCATTTAGTTGAAGGTCTTGTTACTAAATTTGAGGTTCTACTAAGTATAAGATATATGCATTATGTACGTAGTCGTGTTTCACTAGTAGGGACTTAGATGTCTTTTCCCTAGTTCCCTGGTGATAGCCGAACCCTAGCTACTTGATGAATAGGGTTTCGGTTATATATGCAGGTACATGTAATCGGCTACGTAGGAAATCATAATCTGAGATAGCACAACTTCTCTGTGGAGTAAGCTCATTCACACTAAATGAGAAGAACCACGTAAATCATGTGTTCCCTTTATCGTTTCCGCTCTTTACGATTATAAAAATCTTTTATGGTACCAGAGCAGGCTCTCTGAGTCAAAGATCATGAGATGTCTGGTGGAACTGGTAGTGATAGTGGCGCTATGGTCAACGGCTGCGGTAGCAACGGAATAGGAAATCTAATCCCCCCAGCCATCCCGGCGGCCTTGAAGATGCAATCATCAGACAATCCTGGTCAGTTATTTGTGGGACAACTATTGAATGAATCCCACTATGGAGAGCGAGTGACTGACATGACAAAAGCCTAATCGTCAAGAATATACTTGGGATTGTGAATGGTGATCTCGTCAAACGTGAAGCCACTGGAGAGATTCGCGAGGCATGGTTACAGTGTGATGCCCTAGTCAAAGGATGGCTGAAAACAACCATGGAAAAAGAACTCTGAAGCTCAATTCGCTATGCCAAGACAACTCGGGAGATTTGGTTGGATCTAGAGTCACGCTTCGGAACTGATATCAAGGTGCGTGCTTATGAATTTTGGCAGGAGGTCACGGCTTACAGGAGAAGCTGAGCATTTTTACCTTTTACACCAAGTTGCGTGCCCTCTAGGAAGAGATGCAAACAATCACTCTGATCCCACGATGC